CTCCCTCGCAGTCGTGCGCTCATAAATTATGTATTCCCAATGCCGGTTTGAAAATCGCGAAGAGGTATTTTCTCCGCCCCCACCCGCGCGGCCGCAGGCGGGGTGGGTCAGGCACCATAAAGGCTAGGGCCATCACGGTAATGGTGCCTGCCGTAGGCGCTCCATCGGGGAGGTGCGGTGTGCGGCCGCGGCCGCGGCCCCGCCCGGCCCCGCCTGAGCACTATTACCGTGCGTAATGTCGTGCACATCAATACTATCTCTGCTAGGTCCTAAACGCGCACATTCGTGTCCCGTATGCTTTTTAGACAATCCAGCTTTTGGGTCAGAGGGCGACGCGACACTTCGGTTACCGAGTGGGTGTCTTGACTCTACTTTAGAGTAACTCTCACGATAGATTTCAGAAATGGAACAGGCGGGAAAAGCGAAGAGATCTGCCTCATCCGTGTGCCAAACCGGAGAGCGAAAATTTTCCGAGCCTGGGAGAACCGCCTACCTCCGACGCTCTGGGTGGTATCTTTACCGAGCAAAGTGCGAGGAACATCATATCTCACCTTTGCCCCCTGTCGTTGAAGAACGGCACACGAATTTAGTAAACATACATGTACACTAGAAAAACAAAGTTGGGACGTGGTGACTTGTAAAGGGGTGCTTAAATTTTAATGCCTTTAGCAAGGCACGAAAGTTTAGTTTCAAAGACACTAAAATTTAGCACGCCTTTTTGGCATTTTAGTGACTTTCCATCGGGGCTGCGAATCTTTTAGCGCCTGTCTGTAAAGGCACGATATCCATGAACAGCTCAAGAGAGGTGTTGATTCCTACCTTTGTTTTTCCAGTCAAACCAACAAAAACGACAACATACTGCTCACAGCACGTTTCTTTCAGTTCCGCTAAAAAAAATTGTTTTTCCAACTCCTCTAGACGAGCTCCGATAGGCCGCATTGTTCTCCGCGCTTTTCCTTTCCGGGCAGCCGCGGGGAGACTTTGGCGCCATCGTGGAAGCGGAATAATTTGCCGCAGTCGTATAATTGTATGCGAGGCCATTGTCTGGCGAAGCAGCAGGGCAAGAGGGACTCTAAATGTGCCTCCTCGAACCAATTTGTAGCCGGCTCTGCAGTCGGCCTGCTCCCCGCAGGGCACCCCCAAACCTACCCGCCTAAAGGCTCATTTCGCTCCTCTCTGTCCTCATATTCGTCCTCTCTGCACTGCGGTTCTGGTGGTAGGGTCGCTGTAACTGTCAAATTGACTCGGCACGGCACTCGGAGTTGTGGGTTCGAATACCGCGTACCGCTGATGGTAAGGCCTCTGAATTTAGGTTTCAGTCTTGCTCAACTTGCGACACGGCGTAACAACCAACACCTCATCAATCCGTTTAACACGTTGAGTCCCATGGGGGGATTATTATTGTGCGCATACGTGTGGTCACGTGGGACTCGACGCGTTCCGTAGCTTTCATTAGTTGCGCGGGGCTCGTGCGAAGAACGAGTGAGGCAGACCCCTTTCCCCCCTACTTTGCTTGCTTCATTTTTAAAATTAACTTGGGTGAGTCAATGGCGACCTTTCCAAGTGCATGAATTTTTATTCGCCCACCTACAAGCGTGTGAATTTTTTCACACCCCTGCAGTGGTGCGACATTTGTACACTTGGATTTCCAGTAAGCCCGCACCGTATCTACTCCTCAACGCTGCTAGGACGCCGGATTTCCAAAAAATGCAAGTAACAAGCAGCCGTATATAAATTACATCTATAAATGACAGCGAGAAAAAAATTTAGAAAACACACCTATTCATAAATTAGTATCATCGAGTATCATCTCGTTTCCAGATCGATCCTTGATTGATATTTTTCGTACAATATTGTATTCTACAATTTGCATATGCAAAGAATACAGAATTCTGTGCAACCGTATTAAACAAAAATTTCCTTTGTAGTGCAAATATTTTTCTTTGTATTACAAAGAAAATTTGGCTTTATTACGGTTGCACAGAATTCTTTGTAATACAAGAATTTTCTTTGTTACGATTTAAGAGTGGATACGGCCCTTTGGAATCCGTTCGCACAATGCAGAAATTCGCTCAATACCCAATTAGTTTGAAGTGGTGATTCGCTCACCCACGACAGTGTGAATAAGTTAGTCGCGCATCTACAAACAAGAGAGAATTTAAAGCCGTAATTGCAGCCGAGGGACTTTTGGGGACATGCATTTCCAGGGCTGCTGGTATGTCGAATAGAATTCGTGAAAGAAGGAGCGAGGTGTCGGCGAACTTCCTCATGCTACGTTATTGCACAGAGTGATAAGCGCAAAATAGCTTTATTGCGCGGGCGTATAACTGCTGACATAAACATTCGCATCACGTCTAACAAATGAAAGTCCTTCTTTTTCTCTCCGCAGCAGAGCAGCAGCAGCGCGGTGCTACGTGGCGCGGCCGCGCGGCGTGTCGAGGTGCGATGGGGTGGGGCGGTGTGTGATGTGGCGGGGTGGTGCGTGGTGGGGCGGGGCGCGGCACGCCCACCCGCGCCGAAATGAAAACATTACGCCTGCCCGCACACATTAAGAGGCATGGCACGGCCGCTCCCGTCCGCTGGCCCTGGATAATTCGCTGGCTCGTATTTAGCGATTCTTTTTGGCCCTGGTTGCGGGCGAGCTGTGCTCTGTCGGGGCTGCGTGTCCGTCGCGTCCGTGATTAATTATTTGGACGTCGCGACTTGTTGATCGTTGACTTCGGGGGCGTTACAATTACGCAGTCTTTTTTGCCACGAGCTATTCTTGTCATCCAGAATGTGTAGTACACCCGTCGATCGCCTTTCCGAGTCTTGCGCCAATTCCATTTAGGCAAGCACTCCGAGCGCCGGATGGGTAGGCAACATCGTGTCTGCAGTGCATGCGTGTACTGCGGGTGGGCCTACCCCGCGTCTCGCAGGCGCCTGGCTCCGGTGATGGGGTGAACGGATAAAAACGAACGTACTTTCTTTTGCCAACCTTCCTCTTACTCAAGTATTGTTAACGACTAAAAGGGTGTAAAGCGGAAAAAGCCAAGTGCAAAAAACAAGTGCAAAATAAATACTTTTCAGAAATAGGTATTTTCACCCAACGTTTTCGAATGTTATGGAGGCGCAGTTGTTCTGCTCTTTCAGCGAGTAAAGTGTTGAAACGCTACGACTCCAAAAGCGATAAGTGGGCAACTGAGTCGACGGACTTATTCTTGATTTTTCTCAGTCGGCAAGGGCATGTTCCGTGTCTTAACCTCGCAGCACTGCCAACTCAAGTGGTGGCTCAGCGATCTGGTGGTCACTGGTTAGAATCCTGGTAACAATAAAAAAATTCTCTGGCCGAAACACATCTGGTGAGTACCAAACATGTCGTTTCACTATTCTCTTTCCTACTTCCCGTGCGGTGGCTCCATCATGGGGGCCCCCTACGAGGTGTCCCCCACTTCCAAAATAGTGTACAACGAGTTGGCGAGTTGGCGAGTTGGCGTTGAGGAGTTGTAACGAGTATGAAGCGAGTTGCGACCAATTTTTTCAGAGTTCTTCGCAAATTTAGGGCGATTTTTCGCAAACATCGAGTTGGCTAGTGGGTGACCCCTCGGCCCCCCACGAAAAGGTGTCCCATTAGAGCCATGAGTTCATCATCAAATTTCCATAGGCATTTGATGAAAATTAAGACCTCGAACAAAGTCCCGCGCGGAGAGTGTTAGCCCCTTTCAAAGGTGCGACATAGTAGAACTTTTTCAGTAGAGCAGTAGGACCCGTGTTTCGGCTAGTATCTTACGTGTAATCAGCCGCAAAAGCCCCACGTCAGACTCCTGTGGTCGGTGGCTGGTTTTAGGGCCCTTTGCCTTAGCCATACGTGACCGGACCGACGGGGGAGCTTGTCCGTGTGTGTGGGGGGTTTGGGGGGGGGGGCTAGTCCTCCCTATCTGATCCCTCCAGATCCCTGTATGTCCCACTACAGCCCACGTGCCTAGTCCCCGCGAGACCCCTCAGCGTTGGCTTGCCCTAGCCTCGGCCGAAGGGTCGGCCTCCAGCTCGGCCTCCAAGCTCGGCCTCCAAGCTCGGCCCCCCCGCAGCCAGCCTATACCAGCCCCGAAGGGCTGTTGCGCGGAGCGGCCCGGGGAGGGCAAGGGGACGACTGGGACCGGAGACGGGTCCCTAGGGTGCGGTGTCTGCGGGTGTCTGCCATACGTGTGGCCTGCAAGATGAGTGTAGCCGACGATTACTCGCCCCTGCCTTGGCCTGGCCTGGCTGGAGCGCCCCTCACCCCCTTGTCGCCCCACACGCCCCTTCATCACGCCGCACCCCCTCTCGCCCTCTCTCCGGTCGCTACAAGGGTGGAAGGGTGGCCGCGTAAGGGGGCTCCGTCAGCTGTGTGGTGACGTCACTTTTCCATTCACTGGCTGCCCCGGACCGGTGGTGGGGGTGGGTCCCGGGGCCCGTAGGGGCAGGGGCAGGGCCGGGCAGGGCCGGGCGGGGCCGGGCAGGGCCCCTTCTCCTGCTCGGCCGCGGTCCTCCGCCCGGTGGGGCCCTGGCGGAGCCCTGCGTCCGATTGGTAGCGGAATCATGAATGGCCCGGGGGGAGGGGGCGCGTCTCTCGCGGCTCCTCCGGATCCCCCGCGCACCCCCCGCGCACCCCCCGTGCGCCCCCCGCGCGCCTCTCGGAGCCCTCCCCCTCCCCCGATCGTTACTGCGTGGGCGTGTGGGGCCGAGTGCGCCGGCCCGGCCGGGGGCACCGCCAGCACGGCCAGCACGGCCAGCCGGGGGAGAGTGCTGTCGCGCCGGCCTTCCCTTCAGCCTCCTGCACCCCCGCCCGGGCCCCCTCCCAGACCCCCTCCCAGGACCCCTCCAGGACCCCCTGAGCCCCTACGCGCACCGAGCGCCGAGCCCCCACCCCAGCCGAACTTTGGACCCGAAAGGGAGCCGAAGAATGCCGAGGGTGGGCCGAGGGGTCCGCCCCACCGCCGGGCGGCCGGAGGCCCGGCGGTCCGGGGCGGGCCATCCAGAGCCGGGCCGACCGAGTCCCGCGGAGGACAGGACAGGCGCCAGGGGTCGCGCAGGCCCACCCGCGAGGCACCGCGAAGCACCGCGAGACCCACGAGGAGCGGCTGGAGCGGGCGCGCCCGCGGCGTGGCGAGGCGTGGCGCGGTGTGGCGCGGCCTGGTGACGAGCGGCCCCGAGCGGCTCGCAGCGGCCCGCAGCCACAGGTGCGGGAGGGAGGCGCTGCCCCCGCCAGGATGACCCCGTGTTGATACTCCAGTCAACAGTGTCGTGTGAAAGGTGAGAGAAGCGGTCCGGGTGGGCTCGTTTTTATTCATTTGTTCTCTCTTTCATTGTTAGGGAAGGCATCGACGTCGCCGTTGAATTGAGGTTAACCTGACCCCATTACATGGTCCGAACTTTAACGTAACTACGACTTGGAAGTCAAGTCGATCTTTAATCGACTTTTAATCTCTTGCTTTCTTTTTGCTTCATTTTTCTCCACTCCACTCACCCTGCAGTATCGTACACAGTCACAACCTTCCGGAGCAAAATGCCAAATCCTTCTCAGGGACGAAGCATTTGCGAAGGATTTGGCATTTTGCTTTTGACGGTTTTAACGGTGTGGAGGGTACGTACGTTTGTATACATTAATAATAAATAGGGAACCGTTATCTCGAGAAATTCAACACAACACCATTTCTTTTCATGATTACTCTGTTCATGGCAGCCCCTACAGCATAAAAACAAATCACGCGGTTTTAGGGAAATGTAGGGACATAACATTGACCACATTTTGTGTCGATTTTGAAAGAGAATGTCTTCCCTTTTGTGATAGTTTATCGTGAAATGAGTTGGGGGGAAACCTCAACGCGCCTATGAACCATGACCCGCGAGAAGGGAATCTTTGACTCCTGAGCCAGAGTCCAGTCCAGAGCAGAGAGCCAGGGTGATAATCGTTCTCTGATAATCGGTAAAGATACCTCGTTAATAAGAAGACGCGTTTTGCAAAACGAACGAGCATCAAAATTAGCCCCCTACCCAGCCTCTACTCCATCCCCTCTCCTCATTGCAGTGGTGTCTAGTGGCAGGCCGCGAAGTTGGGGACTCGAGAATACCGAAATATTGTTTCGTTCTATTTATTTTACCTACGGGATGGGATATGCGTCGTGGGCGGGCCTGGCACCGACGGCAGGAGAACAAGAACTGCCACTAGTAGGCAGATCAGAGGGACAAAATTGCGATGTGCGCGTTGAAGAAAAGGCAACCGACGAGAGTATAACGCTATAAGAACTTAGCAAACTGTTGTTAAATGAAAGACTCGGGGAATGGAATAATAATCATCATAACTTTCCGTTTCCTTGATCCGCTTATGACGGGGATGGCGGACCGACCATAGTCTTCAGGAAGGTCCAAAACATATCAACGCTACCATACCACGTTGTTGCGCTTTACTGTCGCAGCTGCAACTATAACAACATTCTGCGTATACTACCGCAGAAATAACCCGTTATGAGATAACTGATTTGCGGAGAATCCGTTAGGAATCGTGCAGATAGTATTTACCTGCTCCCGCCGTTAGCCGTTACGAACTTGCCATGCCAAGTTCCGTCTATGCAAGCAGCTCTCATAGCGCCTGATAGGTAGGCAACATTGTGTCCACATTGCATGCGTGTACTGCTGCGCGGCCTAGCCCGAGATCCGCAGGCGCCGAGCTTGCCGTAATTTGCCGAACGAATCTGAGAGAACGGACATTCTTATAGGTGCTAAACTGGGAATTCGCATGTTTGCAAGTGTAATAGTATCCGACACGGCGTTGAACACTGTGGATATAACCGTTATTCAAACACTGTGACGTCACATCCAAACGAGTGTGACTCTTGTCACATTGATTGGAATATTGTGTCACATTCGTTCTATGCATGCCATGCAGAGCACACCTGTGGTTCACATTCTAATGTGAAAAACTTTTCAAAGTATAATGAAACACAATTCATATTGATTAAATTTGACGTCACAGTGTTATTTGAAAAACAGTGTATCATATACTTTAAACTTTTCACTAGAAAAATTGCCTACTAACTACTAAAATTTTGTGCTGCTGTGTACGATCTAGAAAATCTTTTAGAGAGTATTACTAAACTTTTTCCTGTCAGTACTAAATTTTGTCCTTGTAACGTAATTATTTTAATACCAGGTAGCACTAGTAGCACCAGATACATATTAAGTATAATACTTACACCAGCGTGGGAAAAAAGGAAAGCATGTTAGTAAACTAAATTAATGTTTACGGTCCGCACACCTGGCGCGCTAGAGAGACTATACGGTCTAAATAAGACTATAGACAAGTATAAGACCATAAAGTCTAGGCGGCGGGGGCTGTAGAGTCAGGGCGTCATGTGTCCTGGGAGCCGGTCCCACGCCCCAGGCCCGGCCTGACGCACGTGCCCACGCGCCCTGCCCTCTATATCACTCTCGCCGACGCGCGGCACCGCACCCAGCTGTGGCCCCGCCCCGCCCCGCCGCACCCAGCCCCGGCCCTATAAGCCTGAGCGAGTGTTGCGGTGCCCCTGGTGTTGCCCGTGGCGGCGCCCTTGCGGGCCCGGGCCCGCGCGCGGCAGGCAGAGGCACAGGATTGCGGCAACACGGGGCGGGGCGGGGTAAAATGAAAAAAGTTAAGACCTTGGGCGCCTGTCTTCGCACGGCCGGCGCCGGCGGGGTGGGCGGCGTGTGGTCTTACAACGGTGGTGGCACGGACACGGCAGTGCAGCAGCACTGCAAGGGCTATACTCTGTCATTTTACGGTGCCATTAGTCGCCACTGTAATTTTTTTACTAAGAGCTGGCTTCGTAACGTACAAAGGATTTGGAACCTTTGTAAATACAAACAAATCCTTTGTATTACAAAGGGCTCGGCTTTGTAATACGAAGAGCACGCGTCTGTTCAGAAAACTGCGGTGCTCTTTGTAATACGAAGAAAATCCGTTTGTAATATTATGGTGGGTTCCAGATCCTTTGTACGTTACAAACCCGTAATAAGACTACTCTTTGTAAGGAACTTTGAAAGGAACTTTGTAAGGAACTAAGAGTGGCCGTACGCCAAGCACTGCGTGACAGGTGACAGCACTACCTTGTGTGCCAGGGAAGGCAAAACCTTTGTATTTATCAGAAAACGCATACGACGCAAGTATATCGAGCTGTGCCCGCAGCTATACCCTGACCCTGTCCAATTGTGATAAGACAGGTGTCAATATATGCCAATATGGTGAGCTGTTACCGTACGCCACGGGCGAGGCCACGGGGTACAGTTTTGCGTATTGTACTAAAAGTGACGCAAGATTATTTTTCATTTTATTTTTTGCACAAGACGAATACACTGTTAAACTAAGTGTTCAACTGCTCAACACTTCTAAGTGTGCAACTCTAAGTTAAATACTTGCAAGTGTGCAACTGCAAGTTAAATACTTGCAAGGTGCAACTGCAAGTTAAATACTTGCAAGTGTGCAACTCGGTAGGTGTGCACTTGCAAGTGTACAACTCCTCGGTTGAACACTTCCTACACAGTAAGCGTTCAATCTAAAGAAGTGTGCAACCGAGGAGTTGCGCACTTGCAAGTGCACATCTACCGAGTTTAACACTTGCAAGTGTACGACTAGGGTGTTGCACTCTTGTAAGTATTCAACTTGCAGTTGCACACTTACAAGTGTTGAGCAGTTGAACACTTAGTTTATCAGTGTATTTCTCTGCTTGAGAGTGGCCAATAGTACGTTAACAATGATCAATTATCGCTTAGCTTGAAACAGTGAGAGAGAGTCAAGAATTTTCCAGAATTGTTTATTGCACTTATAGCTGTGTGAATCCATTCTCTCCGCTTTCAGGTAAGTTCAAATACCCGCATACACTTGGATTTCTAGTGCAAGCAGCAAGCAGCAAACTGCTGGCGCATTGCGAAACACACATATCACATGCCGGCGTATTATTGCGCAATTTGCAAGACTGAGAATGACTCTGTCCGGCTCTCTCTCTCGCTCCAACATCCTCCCCTTTTCACCCTCTGGTGCCCGCAACTCATGCCCCCCCCTCCCCCCTACCGGCTCTTTCGCTCGCCTAACATGCAAATGTTCCCAGTGGCTCAGGCTCAAGCGCCCCCCTGGTCCGGAACCACGCAGGTAATGTATGTGCCGAGTTTTCGCCGCCCTTGCGCGCTGAGCTCGCCCTGCATACCTGGCGGTTGCGGCAGAGAGGGTGCGGGGCGGAAAGGGCGACGAGGCGTGGCCCAGGTGCAAACGGCAGCCTCTCCTTCAGCAGATTTTCCTTAGAGGTGGTCGTGGTGGTGGTGTGCCTGGCAGCCACCTCGAGTGTGGCGGTGACGACATCAAACGCCATTCCACCCCTTTTCCTCCTCCCCCCGGCACCCCGCTCGCGCGCCCGTACCAAGTTGGAAGGCGGAGAAGAGACCTCCTACACTTTGCACAGGACCTCGCCTGTAAGCAAAAAAGTAGAGCTCATCACTCCACTGCTGCACTCACCCCACACCCTTCGCGTTAGGTTTCCTGGTTGGAATTTCTGCAGAAAGAAGTTTTCCTACACGATAGCCTTTAACCTCACCCTACCCATATAGTCTATCAATTCAAATGTGTACATTGTTTTCTTTCAATTACGTGACATGGCATCATACTTTAATTGAAGTATACATGGCCATGTACGCTTTTATCGCTGAGTAGACTATACATAACCATGTACTCTATACAAAGACTTACTAATCTTCAGTTAGTATACTGCCATGTACACATTTGAATTGACAGAGTATCGGGACACTTGAGTTTTACTTTAACGAATGACAAAAGAAATATATGGCATAAGTAAGAAAGTCAAATACTTCCGAGGGAGATGTAGCAGAGACTATAGCAAACGCGTTCGCACACCAGCATGCAGTACAATTACAACAAAAGTGTGCGGGGTTAATCAGCCACTTTGGGATTTTGCTGTAACTCCGCACACTTTATATGCTCGTCCTTTAAGTCTTTGCCGCGCAGTGTGGCTCTGAGAGTCAGAAAAGGGCGAGTGGAGACGTGGAGGACCAGAAAGGGAGCTGGGCTAGAGAGCTGCTGAGGGGAAAGTTGGAAGGGTTGTGTGAAGTACTGGGCGAACCCGCGCCCACATCTCAGTTCCCTGCCGAAGTTTTTACCTACAGTGGTGGGCGTACGTAACTTGTTGAGAAGAATTCACGAAGAGGGAAACACCGGCCCGACTCGCTATTCTGCTTCAAATTTAGTGCAGCTCCACTATTTTTCTTACCGT